TTTCAATACGTCCACAGAGACACTTTACCCAGTGCAGATGGGAGCTCAAGGCAGGAAGGCCCCCTACCTCACAGGGCAGATGAAAAGCTGAGGCCAGAGATGGAGAGATGGTGTGTGTTGCTGACCTTGTCCTGTCCTTCCACTGTCTACCTGTGATCCTTGCTGCTGTCACTGAAGCCTGTCCCTAGGAGTATTCAGCCCCAACCCTGCCCTCATACCCTGTGCAGTCAACTGGAAACGCCTCGGAGTGGAAAGGCACTTGGAGCAGAAATGATTGTATTTGTCTGCTGTTCACCACCTATGGCCCCTAAGAGTTGCAGGTCTGGAGTGAGCCAAGCTTCTGGACTAGCTTCTGGGCATTTCTAGAGGATCAGGAAGCTGCTGGGTTGACAGAAGTGTCTGAGAACTAAGGAGAGGAAGGAGTGGGAAGAGTGTGAGGAAGGCAGCAGTTCCAGAAACGCCATGGATCCTAGACTTACCCCCTTTCCCCCAGCCCTCCCCTTCCAACCAGCGCATTCTCCATTAAAGCTCTCAGCCTTTAGGACGCCTGCCATCAAGACCATACCATACCCTTGGGGTGATATTTCAGAGAGTGTGCCCTCTAGAGTGCCTATGCAGGGCTAATTGGGGAAAACTTCAGTGGTCCTGTTTTTCTAACCTCCCACCCTGGCTCAGGGCCCTCGGCTAACCTTGCGGTGCAAAGATCCACACGCTGGTGGTGGCAATGCGGGTATTGTTGATACCCATGGCCATGGTGCCAAGATTGGTGGCTGCAGCAGTGGCAGCTGGGCCTTGGGGTTTCTGCCGGTACCTTCTGTGGCTACACTTGAACATCCTGGGAAACCGGGGCCGAGGCCATCCCATACCTGGCCTGCGATAGGGGGAACTTAAGCCCCGGGGCCGAGGGACGCGGACAAGGTGAGAAGGCCCCATTGGCACAGAGAGCTTCTGTAGTGTGCCTGAGGGGGCTGCTGGCTGGGGCAGCTGAGGCCTCTATGACACATAGAGTCTGCGTGAGGGTGGTGCTCTTTATGACAGGTCCTGGTCCCCAACCACTCCCCGCAGGTCAGGGTCCCTCACTAGTCTCTCCATGGGTCAGCCCAAGAGCCAGAAAACCTCAGCTTGGCCCTTTGGGAAAAAGAACTCTGAGTAGGAGAAAATCACCCCCTCACTTTCTCACTCATCCACAATAACAATATTAACGATGTTGATTGAGCACTTACTACATGCCAGTACTTTACAAGCATTATCTCATTTAATCCCATAACAAGCCTACAAGGAGATTCTATCATTATTCCTGTTTCATGTACAGTCAGTTCTTGTTATTCACGGTAGTTCTAATAAAGTCAACACCATGAACACTGAATTAGCAAATATTGAGCTGATGCTCCTAGGAGAAATACAGGGTTAGAGTCCTACCAGCCTCTCATTACAACATTTTCATCAACTCAATGGTTAGTATGTAACCTAGTTTTATGTGTGTTTCTATTTAAAGACACCTAATTTAAAATATACTGTTCAGACATTAACATTGAACTCACTGCCAACAGCACTATAACTTGGACCTGAATGAAATTTATCTAACACTCGTATTTCCTCTGTGAGGCACATCACAGCCGCCTTCTTTTTTTTTGAGGAAGATTAGCCTTGAGCTAACTACTGCCAATCCTCCTCTTTTTGCTGAGGAAGACTGGCCCTGAGCTAACATCCATGCCCATCTTCTTCTACTTTATACATGGGACGCCTACCACAGCATGGCTTGCCAAGCAGTGCCATGTCCACACCCGGGATCCAAACCAGCGAACCCTAGGCCACTGAGAAGTAGAATGTGCGAACTTAACCGCTGTGCCACCAGGCCGGCCCCACAGCCTTCTTGTGCTTAAGAACACTAGATAGCGCTTCAGCATTACACTTGGGGGCTATTTTAAACAGCAAAATCACCAACAAAAAGCACAAAAGTGTGAAAAAACATGACGCTAAAGAGACCACGAATAGAACACTTATTTCCGTTATAAGAGCTGAAGCGAGAAGGCAGAGTGTCCCCTTGTTCAAGCTCAGCTGAGGACATATGAGTTGGGCAACTCAAATTTTTGCAGTTCTGCACATGTCCATGAATGATCACATAAATACCATGAGTATTGGTTTGGGGTTACAAGTAAATTTCAGTGAGAAGGTAAATTCACAGATATGGAATCTGTGAATAATGAGGATTGACTGTGTAAGGAAACAGGCTCAGTTGGGTGAATTACACATTTAGAGGTGGTGGGGGTTCATATCATTGATGGCTAAGGACCAAAGTCCAGACATTTAACTCTCCCTATTCTGCACTCATTCTTCATTCTTTCAATCTTTCAGGAAATGCTCACCAACATTTTCATACATGCTGGGCCCTGGGGACACAGATGAATGTCACTAGCCCTAATTCTTCCTGAGATGAAAGAGAAAGCCATGTGGACAATCACTGCAGGTAGAGGAATGGCTAGATCCCCAGGTGATGTAAGACTTGCCAAGCTGGGTTGATCTCCTTTCTTGTAGGAGATAGGAACATCAGTGGCTCTGCCAGGTCTTGCATTGAGCTGTTGTGGAACTTTGGACTTGCCCCTTCTCCCTCCGCACCTCAGCCCCCTTTCCTTTTGCCTCTTATTCCACCCGTGGGCCCCCTTCCAGCCTCCACCTTTTCTCTGTTCCTACAGGAGTCTGCTAGGAGACTGTGGAGCCCTCAGCATTACCCTCAAAGGCCTCACACCTCCTTCTCATCCAGCCTCTACTCTTGCCATCCTCAGTCTTAGAAATTTGACCTCGCCCCCATCAACTTCTAGCCACTATACCTGTAAACTTATCTGCCCTTGGCCATCTTCTTCCTCAAATCCCTGACAAAGGTCTTCTCTCCTGCTCTTTCTGGAAGCCAGCCCCTCCTGCCTTCTTAGAGATCCCATCAATGTAGACAGTCTACTTGGTGGTTAAGACATAGACTCTGGGGCCGGCCCAGTGACACAGTGGTTAAGTTCGCATGTTCCACTTTGCCAGCCTGGGATTCACCAGTTCACATCCCAGGTGCGGATATAGCACCTCTTAGCAAGCCATGCTGTGGCAGGCGTCCCACATATAAAGAAGAGGAAGATGGGCATGGATGTTAGCTCAGGGCCAGTCTTCCTCAGCAAAAAAAAAAGAGGAGCATTGGCAGCAGATGTTAGCTCAGGGCTAATCTTCCTCAAAAAAAAAAAAAGACAGACTGGCACCAGCCTGACTGGGGGTGAATCCTGGCTCTGCCACTTACAAGCTGTGTGAGCATGGCAAGTACTCAGCCTTTCTGTGCCTCTGTTTCCTCATATTTAAAAATGGAATAAAAAGAGAATCTATCTCATAGGATTGTTGTGAAGGAGAAAAAAGACTTCCTATGTATATAATGCACTTAAAACATGATCTGTACAAATATTAGTGTCATCAGCCTGCCTCTCCCCTATCTGTTCAGCTGCCTCTTCCCATTATAAAAACAAAACATTTAAAAATCCACTTCATCCATCCCACACCGCCTCTGCCTGTGAGTATCCCCACTCTGACCTTCTCACTCTGTGGTCATTCCTTTATGTCCTGGAGTGGGGAAAAAAATCTCATTTTAAAACCCTGTAACTTGGGGCTGGCCCCGTGGCCGAGTGGTTAAGTTCACGTGCTCCACTTCAGCGGCCCAGGGTTTCACCAGTTCGGATCCTGGATGCGGACATGGCACTGCTCATCAAGCCATGCTGAGGCAGCGTCCCACATGCCACAACCAGAAGGACCCACAACTAAAATATACAACTATGTTCTGGGGGGATTTGGGGAGAAAAAGCAGAAAAAACAAAAAAAGATTGGCAACAGTTGTTAGCTCAGGTCCCAATCTTTAAAACAAACAAAAAACCCTGTAACTGTTCTGTGATAGAGACCAGGAAACAGAGGCTTAAAACCGAGTCTAAGAAATGTCCCCAAGGTCACACAGCTAATAAGCAACAGAACCAGGATTTGAGCACCTGGTCTGAGTGCCTCGAAAGCCAGAACTTTCCCAGCACCTCGACATCAGGAGCATTGGAGTGGGAAGTGGGACGGGCAGCCCCGGAAGAATTTATGAAGGTGGGGATTAGAGAGTCTCAAAACGTGGGGCGGGGGCGGGGTTGACACTTTTGCAGGACCATGGTGCCACCTGCTGGCAGAAAGGGAAGGGGCGTACACAGAGTGTGCTAAGAGAAAACTGGAGGGGGAAAGAAAGAAAAGCATGGGGAGGGAGAAGAGTGAGGAGGAAAAAGGAAGGGAGGAGAAAGGTGGGGAGTTTGAGGTTTTGTGAAGGAGAAAGGATTAGGAGCTGTTTGCTACTCAGGAGAGGGGCAGAAGCTGCCAAACCTTAGTCATTTCCTTGAAAGTGTGTGCATGCATGCATGCGTGTGTGTGTGTGTGTGTGTGTGAGAGAGAGAGAGAGAGAGAGAGAGAGAGAGAAAGAGAGAGAGAGAGACAGAGAGACAGAGAGAGAGAGACTTTCGGTATGTACCTCAGATGTTGCTCTGTTGTTTGTTAGTCCTGGGAGTCATCCACACAGAGTAGAGTGTGCGTGTGTGTGTGTGTGTGTGTGAGAGAGAGTGCACTCATGACACTCGTAGGTGTTTATTTATGTATCTGTGTGTGAATACATAGATGGCAGCTTGGGCAGATGTGCACATCTTTGAGCACGTAGGGTATGTATGAATGCATCAGCAGATGTAGGGTAAGAAACATATGTGCACTATCATGGTGGAGAGCACACAAGAGTTTTGGGGGCCACTTGCCTCACCCCCAGACTTCTCCCCCTTCTTCAGATCAGGAGGGGTGTTGCCTGGGGTTGGTGTTGCCAGGCGGAGCCCTGCCGCTGCTGTGGCTGTGGGGATGGATCTCCAGGCAGCAGAGGGCAGCAGGGGCAAGAAGAGGCCAACCAGCCACGGGTGGGGCAGCGGGCGGGCCGAAGGAGGCCTTTAAAGCGCCTGCCCCGCCTGCAGGTGAGCAGTGGTGTGTAGAGCCAGCTCCGTCTTCCCGCCTGCCCACTCAGTGGCCGTTCCCTGGAGCCTCAGCAGATCCCTCTTTCAGAACTCACTACCAGGAGCCTTGAACAGGTGATGGCATAGGATAGAGAGTATCCTCTGAAGTGAAATCAATCTGGAAACAGGTTTGGGGAGTTGAAAGGGCCATGGGGAGGGTCCTGGAAGAGTCTAGAGTTGGTTTGGGGAGGGGTCCAAGGTATACAGGTGCCAGGGAAAGGCATGGAGTGACCGGCCATGTAGGAGTCAGACTTGGGATTTCAGTGGAGGAACCGTGGGTGGGGGGGGGCGGTGTTCGGATCTGAGTGTTAGGGCCAGCCCAGTGGCGCAGCGGTTAAATTTGCATGTTTTGCTTCAGCGGCCTGGGGTTCGCTGGTTTGGATCCTGGGTGTGGACATGGTACCGCTTGGCAAACCATGCTATGGTAGGCGTCCTACATATAAAAAGTAGAGGAAGGGGCCGGCCCTGTGGCTGAGTGGTTAAGTTCGCAAGCTCCGCTTTGGCGGCCTAGCGTTTCACCGGTTCGAATCCTGGGCATGGACATGGCACTGCTCATCAGGCCACACTGAGGCAGCGTCCCACATGCCACGGCTGGAGGGACCCACAACTAAAAAAATACACAACTATGTACTGGGGGGCTTTGGGAGGAAAAGGAAAAATAAAATCTTTAAAAAACCAAACAAAAAGTAGAGGAAGATGGGCACGGATGTTAGCTCAGGGCCAGTCTTCCTCAGCAAAAAGAGGATTGGCAGCAGTTAGCCCAGGGTTAATCTTCCTCAAAAAAAAAAAAAAAAAAAGATCTGAGTGTTAGGTCTTGGTTAGGTGCTGGTAGAGGGCCTGGGTAGTACAGAGGGATAGGGGTGATAGGATGGGAACTGGGGAAAGTCCTGAGGTGTCAGAGTGCAGGAGCAGGGGAAGCTTGGTGATATATGAGTCCGAGATGCTGGAGTCTGGTATGTCAGGGTCCAAGAGCCAGGGCCGCGCTAGGTGGCGGGGAGGGTGAGGTCCTAACTCACACATTTCTGCCTCCCAGGAGCCACCATGCAGTGCTTCAGCTTCATTAGGACCATGATGATCTTCTTCAATACGATCATCTTTGTAAGTATGGGGGCTGTGGGCTCTCTGGGGCTCCTTCATGAGTGGGTTACACACCTGAGCAGAGCCCAAGCTGGGGAACAGGAGATTGCTGTGCCCAGACTCTGTCCTGCAAGTTCCCTCTTATGATGGGGTGCAGAAGTCTCCCCAGATGCTGAGTCCTGGTCCCATTAGCAGCCTGGCTGCCACATAAGTTGAAGTGGAAAAGCTTAGGGGCTTCCCCTCCCTTCCAGGAAGCATCTGGCCAGGCTTAGGGCAGGACAGGGTAGACTAAGAGGAGCAATTCTCCTCCTGTTGTAGGCACTGGGGGCCCAGAGAGGGGGAGCGGTTTGCCCAAGGTTACCTAGTATGGAAGAAAATTCAGTGGCCTCTGTACGGTGGGGAGCTGAAAGGAGAGAAGGCCCAGAGACGTCAGAGCAGAGGGTCTGCCTCAAGCAGCCTTTATTCATTTAATAAACATTTATTGCCTCAGACTCTGTGCTGAGTACTGGGGTGACAGGTGAGCAAGCCCCCTGTCCTCAAGGATCTCAGGTCCAGCAGGCCATATAGACAGACAGTTGCAACATAGTATGTCTGGCCTTAGCACAGGGGCTGGGGGAGCCCATAGGAGGGGACTGAGCCCCACCTGGACAGGGAAGACTTTCTGGAGGAAATAGCTAAGGCTGGAAATTTGCCCTGGGTGAGGAGCTTGTAAAGTATGCAGAAAGGCCCAGAGGCAATGAAATCAGATATTGTTCAGAAAACCAGGAACAGATTGTATAGGGCATGTTTGAGGAAGCTGAGCAATGAGGTGTGAACCCTAGAGATGGTGGTGGAGATGGGGAGAAATGGCCAAAGTGGACAAAGGACAATGCCCTCGGATGGTGGCTCTGGGGTGGAAGAAGGAGCAAGGGAGACAGAGGTCGTGGAGATGATGCCCATATCTCTGGCAGGCATCCGGGGGGTGACCCACTGGCAGCTGTGTACCCAATGGGATTGCAGCTCAGGTCAGAGCTGGACATGGATATGGGAAAGTCATGTGTCCAGAGGTGGTCATTGAAGTCATGGGAGTGGGTGACAGCAGTCAGGGAGAGTGAACCCAAGAAACCCAACTTACAGGGGGTAAGAGGACAAATGGCCTTATAAGGAAGCTGTGGAGAAATATGGAGAAAGAGCAGCAGGAGGAGAATAAGGAGAGCAAGATATCAGGGATGGCAAGGAGGATATGACCCATGAAGTGTCCACCAGACCTAGCACAGGATGTCACTCAGACCTGGCAGCCACATTAGAGTGGGTGAGAGGGAGTTAAAGGTGAGGAAGTGGAGACATGAAGTGTAGACGAATTTGGAGAAATTGGGCTGGGGCTGAGTACTCTCTGACTCCAAGGTGGTCTGTGCCTTGGGCTTCCTTTAGCTTCAGGGAACTGCCCTTTTCCACATATCTGGAGCAGGCAACAGGATCCCGGTGATTTCGAGAGCAGGGGCTCTGACCTGAGGGGGTTAAAGAAATCCTGTTTGGTTTCTGGTCTCTGTTGCCCAGGCCTTGCCAGGCTGGGCAGGGCAGAGCAGGCGTCAGACTCCTTGAAATTTGACCCACAGGGTGGAAGCCCAGCTTTCTGTCCTTGGACAAACATACCTGGGATGCAGCCGCAATCTGCCACCTCATTCCTGGTTCTTGCCTCAGCTTCTATGCTGGAAAGCGGGGACTGGGCACCAGCGTGGTGTCAGGCTGATTCGTCCACTGAAGCTCTGGATCAGCGAGGCTTTGCTCTAAGAGCTGTGGGAACTGGGGAGTGCCCTCTTCCTCAATCTTCAGGGCTTCACGATTCCCTCTGAGGTTTGGGGTTGAGCTGGACAGCCTCTAAGAGAAGCTCTGGCTATACTCTCCTTCTGGTGCCTCTGTTTCCACTTATGCGACAAGGAGAGGTCCAGCCTGGAGGAAGGGTAGGACGGGAGTCTGATCTTGGAGAGGAGCCAAATGGGGCCTCAGTGTGGTTGTCCCTTCTCACTACCCACCTCTCCAAGGTTGGGAGCGGTGGAAACCTCAGCCCCGCCTCTGTTGCTATGGTGACTGTCGAGCCTGCTCAACACCACCATCCGCCTCTTTCCACCTATCAGAGGACAGAGGTGTTCCAGACACCCATAGCCCAGAAAGAAAATGGGGTGTGTGTGTGTGTGTGTGGTTCACCTGCTTGTTTTCACTCCTAACTATGTTGCAGGACCCTGACAGCAGTGAGCGAAAGCCTTGGCCCTCTCTCATTCCACGGATGTTTCTGGAACCCCTGATCCCATTTATATCTGCCTAGGTGTACAGCCTGGTGCTGGCTATGGTTGTCTCAACTCCCATGTTTCTGTCTCTAAAGGATGTTTTTCCTCCCTACAGGATGAGTTTTTAGACTCCTCAGCCAATAAAGGGGAAAGTTTCTCGTCTCCTGTCTTCCTGACTCAACTGTGTGGTAGGGAGCTGCTGCTTGCCAGCACTGTTTCAAGGCCTATCTCTCTGTTCCCAGCTGTGTGGTGCAGCCCTGTTGGCAGTGGGCATCTGGGTGTCCGTCGATGGGCCATCCTTCCTGAAGGTCTTTGGGCCGCTGTCATCCAGCGCCACGCAGTTTGTCAACGTGGGCTACTTCCTCATCGCAGCTGGTGCTGTGCTCTTTGCTCTTGGTTTCCTGGGCTGCTACGGTGCTCACGCTGAGAACAAGTGCGCCCTCATGACGGTGTGTCAAACCCAGCTCCACAGGCCCATGACCAAGCCCCAGGGTCCCCTCACCCTTGACACTAGGCCCTGGTGAATCCCCAAACCCTGCTCTGGTCTCCAGGGGCTCAGAAAAGGGAACACCTGCCTCGTTTTTAATGAGGGGTGGGTTAGGGCAAGGAAGACATTAGGGACTGTCTCTCCCTAAAACTCAGACCCTTGTTCTCTACTCAGTTCTTCCTCGTCCTCCTCATCATCTTCATTGCTGAGATTGCAGCTGCCGTGGTCGCCTTGGTGTATACCACATTGGTGAGGAGCTGAGGAATGGGGATGGGGCAAGGGGGAGAGATTGGGCAAAGCCCTGGAAGGGAGCTGTGGCTTGTGGCCTGTCGATGACCACCTTCCCTCCAATGCCCTGAACACTGGCCTGCCCCACCTAGGCTGAGCAGTTCCTGACGTTGCTGATAGTGCCCACCATCAAGAAAGAATACGGTTCCCAGAAGGACTTCACCCAAGTGTGGAATTCCACCATGGAAGGGGTAAGTTGGGCTGGGGGAGATTTTGGGGTGTGAAGAAAGGTGTGGAGAAAGGCTTCACTGATCACTGTCTCCTCCTCATCTCCAGCTCAAGTGCTGTGGCTTCAACAACTACACGGATTTTCAGGGCTCTCCCTACTTCACAAAGAACAATGTCTTCCCCAAATACTGTTGCTCTGACGATGCCAGTAACACAAACTGCACAGAGGCGGAGGCCAAGAAAAAGGCCGTAAAGGTGTGGCTGGCGTGGAAGGTTGTGGGATGCTTTAATGGCCGCAGAGGCTGAATGAGGGTGGGGGGCAGCTGCTGACTACAGATGGTCTCTTCCTTCCCCTAAGGGTTGCTTCAGTCAGCTTCTGCACGGCATCCGAACCAATGCATTCGCTGTGGGCGGTGTGGCAGCCGGAATTGGGGCCTTGGAGGTAAGGGGGTGAGGAGGTTGGGGCAGGATATCCCCACTGGACCAGGGCTGCTTGACTCATCTCTGAGGGCTGTCTGGAGAACACAGACTTCCAACAGAGCTTCATGTAGGTTTTCTGGGGGGCATGGGACTAAAGCTGAAGAACCCCAATCATGTCCCCTCATCTCTCCCTGTTCCTTCCCCACCAGCTGGCTGCCATGATTGTGTCCATGTATCTGTACTGCCATATGAAATAAGTCTGCTGCCTGCGCCACTGCTGCTGCCACATAGGAACTGGGAAAAGGCACCCTAGCACTGCCAAACGGCAGTGATCAGGGTGGGGACAGAATCTAACACTGTCACTTGGGCTGCAGTGGGCCAGCCTTGCTGTTCTGGACTTGGGACCATATAGGGGCCACCTGGTCTCAGGCTGGCCTGACTTTTCCTTCCACTGGTGGGGTTGGGGCCCACCTGTTCCCGAACCTCTAAGGTAGCCAGTTCTGCCCATTCTTCCAGGCCATCCCTTAAACCCTTGACTCCCCCTCAGGCCAAGGCGGGGCTCTTGGTGATCCCAGCACCCCACTGGGGGATGAGAAAGGCACCCTACAGCATGGGCACACACAAAATCAGCAGTCACCAGGCAGATGCGTGGAGGAACTTCAGAACTCATAAACCAATTAAAATGTTTGCATTTGGATTCTTTTCCAGTATCCTTGGGGGAGGGGCCCATCTTGCCTGAACGGGCCTCAGATTCCCACGGGGGTGGCAACTTAGAAGCCTCCTGGAAAGGTAGCAGAAGGGAAGTAGGGTGGAGGTAGGTAGCTATTTCTGCCCTTCATTTAGATTCCAGGCCTGGGAGGGAGCCTAATAGGATGGCCAAGAGGGCACTGAGGGAGGAGGTAGGGGCTAGGTCAGTTTGTCTTCCTATAATGTGGGAGGACTTTGGCCTAAAACTACTGCCTCCTGGGTGGGGGCGCTGAACTGGAAAGCTATGAAAATAACAAGCTTGTGCCCAAGTGGGGGCGGGGAGACCAGAAATATTGCCAGGGCAATGGGAGACAGTCACTCCTTAGGTTCTGGGGAGCCCCCATCAGAGGATCCCAGCTGCCCCCACCCTTCCCACGCAGGCAGAGCCCCACACCTGTCCCTGCTTTGGAGATTTCAGAAAGAACTTCATTTATTCTTGGTCTTGGTCTGCCTGGTGCTCTACAGATCTGATCTCTTATTTAGTCTTTACCACCCCCATGCTCCAAAAACTGGGCCCAGAAAGGCCAAGTGACTTGTTCCAGGCCCATAACCTTCTATGAAGACCTGAGTCCAGATTTGGGCCCAGGCCGTGTGACTCCAGAGCTTGGTGGGATCCTGCCTGACATGGCGACAGATTTACCTGAAGGCCAGAATGTCCCAGACATCGATCTGGTTGCTGCTGAACCAGGATTTAGTGACAGCACTAAGAAGGGAGGCTATGGCCAGAGGATATGGTGTCTGCTTCCAGGCAAAGCCCAGTCTGGCAAACCAGTCCTCCTTGCCTCCCTTGGCCCCCTGGATCCCTCTTCCTGGGTTTTCCTAGAGCAGCCCAGAACTATCACCCCTTGCTGAGCCCAAAAAGGAACAGGGACCTGGCCACAGCCACACAGTGCTGGGAGCTAGTCTGAGGCCCAGGTCAGGAGCCTGCTGGGGGGCCAGGCAGGGAGAGCAAGTAGCCCCCCTCCCCCCTTCACCTCCTTCCTCTTACACACGACCCCTCCCCCAGGTGCTCTATGGAGGCTGCACAGGGTTTGTTTGCCCAGGGCGGGGCTCCACCTCATCAGAAGCTAATTGCTCCTCAACCTGCAGTTGTGGCACCTCAAGCACTATCTCCAGCTCTAGCTCCAGCAAACACCGAAGGCGTCAGGGTGGCGAGCAACATCTAAGCCACACACTACCAGTGCCATTGCCGACCTGGGCTCCAGGCACCGGTCGGGGAGGCGAGGTCAGAGAGCTGGAGAGAGGGCAGGAGTTCCAGTCAGCTCCTGCCTCCCTGGTGAAGGCTCTAGATAAGGAGTTCACCAGGCTCACCTCAGAAGGGCTCTGAAGGCAGACGTCTTCTCAAGAGGTGTTCTACACTCACCCTCCTGATCCTAAGGCCTTCACAGATCCCCTAAATGTCATGCCCCTTGCCTTGGTCTATCTCATCCACTCTCTCTGGACAATCCCATCCATTTTCTGGTGCTTTTATGACTGTTTAACTCAGATCTTCCTAAGCTCTCTGGGTCACTGGCTGGGTGAGAATCTGAGGAAAATGATGGCTTTTCTCTAGAAAAATGCCCAGATATGGAATTCTGCATACAAAGTATCCTAAGGGCCACAGACATCTTGCTCCTATGTTGCCATCTGCAGCCCAGTCCTAGCCTCTTGAATGATGCCCGTCCAGTCCCATCTCACCCACTTCCTTCCCACCCTCACTATGCTCGTCTGCTGTCCTTTCGCCTCCCCCAGCCCCAAGTATCCCTTTTTGCTCTCTCTTTCTCCATGTCAGGGGACAGGTGCCTGGACCAGGCAAGCTAAGCAGTAAACAGCCTGATGGTTAAAGAGTGGGTCCGGGGCGGGAGTGGCTGCTCCAAGCTCAGCCCCAAGTAGGGTGGGGCTGAGGTCAGGCTCAGCGTCCTTAGGCAGGGGGACTAGGGAAAAACCTTGGAGTCTGAGACTTGGGCATCCCCTGGTGGCCAAATGGTCCCAAAAGGAAGATAAACTCTGTGGCAGACACTAAAGAAAACTCACCATCCATCTCGACCATCCCCCTACCCCTCAATCACAAGACACATCCCCAGAGGTTTTCTCCTTTTTTTAATCAATGACCACTTTATCCAGCTTTGGAAACTTGGACAAAGAGGAGGCTGAGAAGAGGCCTGGTTCAGTGTCTGAGGGTCTCTGAGTGAGTCTGCATCAGCAGGCGGGCCCCAGCTGGGCCTGTCCATGGGTTGGGCACAGCAGTTTCCTGAGTAAGAGCTAGCCCCACCCTTAGGGCAGCACCCCAGTCCAGAAAGGAATCAAGGCCCTCCAGGCTTCAGCCTGTTTCCAGGGCCCTCAGGACAGTCAATAAATAGGTTAGATTCTGAGCTGGGTGGAGGGAGGGTACACAGCCGGGCCTGGGTGGAGGGAGTGTACAAAGGGCAGGATCAGCTGCCTGGGGATCCCAGTGATTCCAGGTGCTATCCTGCCCTTCCCAACAAGGAAGCAAATAAATAGACCTCCAACTCAGGAACAGAGGCGTTGGAGCAGGGGAACCCTCCCCTTGGAGTTAGTAATTAAGTCTCAGGTTAAAAACAAACCAGCCCCAGCCCCTGCCAGTGTCTACAAAATCCTACAGGATGGGGTGAAGGGCTAGCCTGCCTGGGGGTACACAGTACCCAGCCCTACAGGGTCCTGAAGGAGGTCTCACGTCTGTTCTGCGGCTCCTGGGGCTCCCTCCTCTTTTGGGGGTGGCTCCAGGAAAATTGGGGTGATTGACGGTGGCTTCTTCACCCTGGGAAGATGATATGAAAATGTACAGTGAAAAGGTCATTAGCGCTGTCACCAAATCCCACTAGTCTCCCATTTCCCAGGGCAGAAAAGGTCACTCACGAGTAGGGAGAGGCTGGGACTCCCACCACCAGGAAATGGTTCTTCTTCCGAAACAATCTCCACAGGCCCCGGTGGTTGCCGCGCACATCCAGGTCCCAGATATGGAGGCACTGGGGTGGGGAGAGGCATGGGTGAGAGCTGTGGGAGGCGCCACTGAGGACCCTTGGCCTAGCTCCCATTCGTCCTCAGCAGCCTCCTCAATTTGCAAGAGGTAGCATCTTCTAGAATATAGATTTGGACAGGAGGTTGGAAGAGGGGTTCTGAGAGTATGAAGAGAGGGTCCTGAGGGAGAAGACTCCAGAACAAAGGCCTCCTACATTTTGGGAGGACGGGATGCATAGTCTTGGGGGAGGTATGGTATTGGGGCACCTTGGCAAGCTGGGTCCAGGTGGTGAAGTCATCGTCTTTCTCCATTCGGATGAAGGCCACGTAAGTGTGGCCCTCTGTGTCTGGCAGGAAAGAGTCTTCACAAGGGTTCTTGCTGTGGTCCAGAACCTCGGCTTCACTGCAGCAGTGGGTGGGAGAGAAAGACCAAAACAGGGCCAGCTTCACGGGTGTGTCACACAAAGCCCCGGCCTGAGTTTAATGCTCTGCTGTTGCTGTCTTAAAATTCTTAATAATTTTTGAAGACGGGGCCCTGATTTTCATTTTGCAGTGGGCCCCATAAATTATGGGGCCAGACCCCCAGTATCTGACCCCTCCTCACTCCCTGCCACATCCCCCTACTGCCCTCGGCCGTACCTGAGCAGCCTGTGAACTTCCACTTCATAAGCGTCCTTCTTCAGACTGAAGGGAAAAGAGAAATGGGTCGGGGGGGGAGGCAGCCCCTCAGGTCTCAGGGGCAGGGCAAGGGGTCACATGGGAATTGAGGGGCAGCAGGGCTGGGATAAACATACAGGCCCCAGGGTCAGAAGGCAGTGTTAGGTACTGGTCATCAAGGCTCCTAGATATCCTCCCCTTTGCCCTCTCCCCAGCCCCCACCTGTCCACGTTCCTGAACTGGACACCTGGAACTGTGTTGAACTTGTGCTTCTTGAAGTAGGCCTCCTGGAGCAGGTGTGAAGGTAAAAATCAGGGCCTTACATTGTCTGCCTCATACCTGCCCACTGACCCACCCCATATCCACAAGGCCCACAAATGAAGTCCTGGGCTGATAAAAGTCCCTCTAATTTTCTCCTATATTCCTCAGCCCCTGCAGCATCCTTGGCAGGCTCTTACTAGCTTTAATTTGGGCTGCACCACTGCCAGAGAGCTTATGCCCACACCGGCATCTCATGCTACTGACCCCAGAACGAGTCCCTGTCCCCTGTGGCTCTCCTGGGCCTGCTGTTCTAGAACCACAGAAGCCAGGAGCACGCCCTGCAGGGGGAGCTGGATAAAGGACAGCTGGGCAGGGAAGGAGGAAACTTCTATGACTGAGGTTCTGAGAGAGACCTGAGGTAAAAGCCTTCCCCACCCTGGGAGATGAGCAGGGGTCTTATATCAGCCAGCCTCTGAGGGCCCTTCTGGCTTCTAGGAAGTTCCAAGCTGGACGCTGTCCACTCCTGCGGGCGGGGCTGCTTCAAGGCCTCCCTTGCTGTAACTGCGGAGTGGCCCCTTGGACACAGCCAGGTAGGAGGTGGAGGCCTGGGGACCTCCCTGTTCACTTCAGGCTGAGGCTTAGGCCCCAGCACTTGCAAGGACAGAAGAGGGCATAGCTTGCAGGGTGGATAAGTGTTTGGCAACAGAAATACCCTCTCCACACCCACAGTCTAGGGCCAAGAATAGTAATAATAAAAATAATACCAGCTAACCCTTATATAATGCTTACGGTTCAAAGCATTTTACATATATTAACTCATTTAAACCTCATAACTTCACATCCCTATGAAGGAGTATTTCTGTCCTCGTTTTACAAATAAGGAAACTGAGGCAAAAGAGGGTAAGTCATTTCATTTCCCCAAGGTTACATGGCTAGTAAGTGGTAGAGCTGGGCTGGCTCCAGAGTCCACGTTCTTGGCCTATCTACTATGCTGTGCCCCCTCCCCAACACCCCTGCCTCCGGCTCACATGGAAGTAGCCATTCATGTTGAGGCCGACGATACCGAAGTGGTAG